TTTTTTTTTCACAGAGTTCAAAAACTGCAATTCAATATGATAAGTAATGTTAAATAAAACATCAGTGAAGAAGGATACATGAGAGTCTGGTAACAATTATAAGACACTTTATAACAGGCAAAACGCTTAGGCACTCAGCTTAGTGGTTAAACCTGGGGATGAATGAGAGGAGATGGAACTATATTTGTATACTATTCTATTTCTTCAGCTGGGTGGTTTTAATAGATTTGTTTTAATAGTCTACCTATAATAAAAACCCAAAACTGAAGCTAGGGTTTTAAAAATAATTCCGACAGCAAAGTTTCTTTATCCAAGTGTAAGAAAGATGAAGACCTTTAACTCCTTGTTCTCCTGCTTTTAGCACTAAAACCGGAGTCCCAGGCAAACCAGGACGGTCTGTCACATGTATATTTAACATGAGACAATATGTAACATCTCAACTGGTTTAAGGATCTAAACAGTGTACTTCGTGGGTATGTGTGTTGATTTTTATTTATTTTATTTAACACACCCAAAAGAATGAAAGTGTTTTCTGACCACTATGTCAGAAAAATCAAAACACGCATTCCTGTATTGCTGTATTTTTAATAATGTACATGAAGTACATGTAATGTGTTAAACATGTATGAAGGAAGGAAGGAAGGAAAGAGGGAAGGAAGGAAGGAGACAAATTCTGAGTTAATTGACCATCAGTACCAAAGCAGTACTAGGATAGGTTCCTGGAACCTAATGACTCACAATAAACAAGTGAATTGTCAAGTGAATTAGCCGACCCAATGCTCAAACCAACACCAACACCTTTGCTGCACAGGATGAACCCACCATAACCGGAGATTTCAGCACCTCCTACCTGAACATACATCTTCAGAAGGTGACTGTGCATCTGGAGTTCCTCCGGCACCTCCACAGACTTCCCGCCAATAAACCTCAGGAGGTCTAGGGGCACACCTGTGTCCCAGGTGGAAATGCGAGCTTCGGGCTGAACCAGACCCTGCCAATGGGCCTGTAGGTGAGTGGCAGGGGGGCTGTACTGGGCCATGTTTGTTAAATGGTCATTTAACTTTGCATAGTAGGAGGCTTTGATTTCTGACACCTCGTCCTGGGTCATCAGTCCAATGGCAATAAGGTGCTCTGCATACGTGTCTGGAATGCTCTTTCGGGCTCTGTGGAGCAAAAAGGGGGAAAAATAATCTGCTTTGTGAAAACCAGAGGGACAAACACAGTCATTGTCGAAGGTGCCGTAGAGTGCCATCACTGTAAAAAGGCAACAGGAAATGTTTTAGAGCTGCCCAGAGGGGATGGTCACACAATACGGTATTAATGCCACGGAATTATTCACTTTAACATGGTCCATGTAGGTTACAGGATTTTCACTCCAATAAATTATTTTTTTTTCCAAAAAAGCAGTGGTGAGTAAAAACCTTGTCCAGGCAAACAAAAGAAATTTACCTTTATAAACTTTTGTCTACATTCAGGCAGAAATAATTCACAGTAGTTTTTCTATGAATTGGTCAATTCTTGGGGGTTATGAATTGACCTACAAAGTCTACCTATTCAGCTCCCCTTTATTTCAAAAAGGATTAAACCCAAAGTTGCCAACATCCATTTCAGGTGGCTGTAAGAATCCTACTCAGCACCTTTCACAACAATAATAATAGCGACACTCTACATTCTTATGAAACTTTAAACTATAAAGTCTGTTGAGATATATTCTCATATTTAATGCTGACAAAAGTGAGACTTAAGCAGGCTAGATTTTTTTTTTTAATGAGGCCCTGAGGTACATCAAGTAATTCAGCTGCTAAGCTCAGAGCTAAATGGAGAACCCAGATTCGTTCTTCAAGAACAGAACAGTCTGCTACCTACATCCAGAAAGGCCCATAAAATGTCACTGAGTTTATTCCTCTGCTTTAATTTATGTCTATGAGGAAATAAGGTACAGAAGAGGGATCTATTTTACTTTCTACTATGTAAAAGGAAATTCCAAAGTGACATATTCTTCTCTGTCACATTAACCTTCAGACTCAGCACTCTCCAACAGAAATATAATACAAGCCAACGTGGAATTTAAAATTTCCTAGTGGTCACATTAGAAAAG